GACAAACAATATTTTAGAAACACATTACCTGATAGATTTATAGAAGTTCCACTTAAGGATCTTGATGCAAACGCGGTGGTTTTTCCTAAAACGGTAGAAGGCTGTATTTCAGATAACTCCATCTTAGTTAAGAACTGGTCATCATACTAACAAAAAACGTTACAAATCCTTATTTGATCAATAATAATAATAACAATAATTATTTTCTTTGAGGCTGGCGGGAAAAAGCACTAGGTAGGCCAATCAAGAGTAACCACTATTGATGTAAAAAATATTGATAAAAATTGTCAATTACAAATGCACATAAGAGCTCCTTTTTCTTTTTTACATTGTTAACATCTAGATTATTGTTCTGTATTTTCCCCATAAATATTAATTTCAAGCTAATATATGGTTTTATTTTATCTTAAAGAACATATGCAGCTTACAATATTTCCCATGCACGCGCAGGAGTTATTCACTCTTGGCCGCTGACCAAATATGCTAAAATCTGAAAGAAATATGATTCAGGGTTAGCTTTTCAAATTGTATAATTTCAAATAGGAAAAAATAGGATTTAATTCATTTGACTTTGATATCAAACTCGATGGATAAGATATCCATTAAATTTACCTCTGGTAAACCTAAATGTTTTTTGAAAATGCCCCTGGAAGTGAAATCCATGGCTGTCAGCTTCCTTTCCCTTGCTGTCTGTCAGCTTCCTTTCCCTTGCTGTCAGCTTCCTTTCCCTTGCTGTCAGCTTCCTTTCCCTTGCTGTCAGCTTCCTTTCCCTTGCTGTCAGCTTCCTTTCCCTTGCTTTCAGCTTCCTTTCCCTTTTGTTATCCGTACCATGTGACCAAGTAGAAGGCCAATCAATGGTAACCACTATTTATGTAAATAATATTGATAAAAATTATCAATTACAAATGCACATGAGAGCTCCTTTTTCTTCTTTACATTGTTAACATCTAGGTTTTTGTTCTGTATCTTCCCCATAAATATTAATTTCAAGCTAATATATCGTTTTAAGTAATCTTAAAAAACCTATGCAGCTTACAAGAATTTCCCATGCACGTGCAGGAGTTATTCACTCTTGGCCACTGACCAAATATGCTAAAATCTGGAAGAAATATGATTCAGGGTTAGCTTTTCAAATTGTATAATTTCAAATAGGAAAAAATAGGATTTAATTCATTTGACTTTGATATCAAACTCGATGGATAAGATATCCATTAAATTTACCTCTGGTAAACCTAAATGTTTTTTGAAAATGCCCCTGGAAGTGAAATCCATGGCTGTCAGCTTCCTTTCCCTTGCTGTCAGCTTCCTTTCCCTTGCTGTCAGCTTCCTTTCCCTTGCTGTCAGCTTCCTTTCCCTTGCTGTCAGCTTCCTTTCCCTTGCTGTCAGCTTCCTTTCCCTTGCTGTCAGCTTCCTTTCCCTTGCTGTCAGCTTCCTTTCCCTTGCTGTCAGCTTCCTTTCCCTTGCTGTCAGCTTCCTTTCCCTTGCTTTCAGCTTCCTTTCCCTTTTGTTATCCGTACCATGTGACCAAGTAGAATCCCTGTCTAGGAATAACATAAAATCAGTACACTTGTCTTTAAGTAGAAATCCAGGTTGGGTCATAGAATTATATGATAACTATACCATAATTATACAAACTTTAAATGAAGAATACTTACCACGGCCAAATTTTTTTTTCTCCAACCTAATTTCGAAGCAATTTCCGTCCACAGTAATGTAGAAGGACTTCATTAGGCTCTAAGTTTTTGAAGAGCTGAACTTTTGGTGAAAAGGTAGATTCCTTGATTACCCTTCGAATATGAGTCTAAAATGGGAAACAATTTAAAAAAAATTATTTAGGAATTTTTATGGTACTGCTTAATATTTCTCTAAAGGTAACAGAATATCTTTGTTGAAAATGAGCCTAGAAGAGAAATTCATGGTCGCCAGCTTCTTTTCCATTGCCGCTATGCGTGCCATGTGACCTAGTAAAATTTCTGTCTAGAAATTATTTAGTACACTTGTCTTTAGGCAGAAATGCAGGTTGAGTCATAGAAATATACGATAACTATACCATAATTATACATACTTTGAATAAAAAATACCTACAATTGCCAAATTTTCCTCTCCAACCCAATTTCGAAGCAATTTCCGTCCACAGTAATATAGAAGAACTTCATTAGCCTCTAAGTTTTTGAAGAGCTGAACTTTTGGTGAAAAGGTAGATTCTTTGATTACCCTTCGAATATGTGTCTAAAATGGTAAACAATTAAAAAAATTTTTTTTTAGCAATTTTTATGGTACTGCTTAATATTTCTCTAACAGAATATCTTTGTTGAAAATGATCCGAGAAGAGAAATCCATGGCCGCCAGCTTCTTTTCCATTGCCGCTATGCGTGCCATGTGACCTAGTAAAATTTCTGTCTAAAAATTATTCAGTACACTTGTCTTTAGGCAGAAATGCGATAACTATTAGTCATAGAATTATACAATAACTATACCATTATTATACAATCTTTAAATAAAGAATACTTACTACGGCTGAATTTTGCTCTCCAACCCAATTTCAAAGCAATTTCCGTCCACAGTTATATAGAAGGACTTCATTAGGCTCTAAGTTTTTGAAGAGCTGAACTTTTGGTGAAAAGGTAGATTCCTTGATTACCCTTCGAATATGAGTCTAAAATGGGAAACAATTTAAAAAAATAGTTATAGCAATTTTTATGGTACTGCTTAATATTTCTCTAAAGGTAACACAATATCTTTGTTGAATGAAATGAAGCAAGTTCAATATAATTTTATTTTTGCATTCACGAATTCAAATACACATCTAAAATAAGACATTTTAATATCTTAGGGCGGAAATTGGCAAGTTTCTAAAATTGAATGATTGTGAGTAAATGTGTAATTAATTTACCTTCCAAAAATGTTGCTGTGGAATGGTACCCAGCACATTGTACAAGAAATGTATACCTCCAATGAAATCGTTTTGTTCAGCATCTTCTTAGAGTTCTTGTTGTTGTCGCAAAGGGAAGCATCTTGTTTTCTGCAAAGGACCGTAATAGATTATGCCTCATTGTCTCTTGGTCAAATGTCACCTCAGTAGGATTTCTCTTTTCTTTTAGAACGTAATTGGTAAAGGCAATGATGTCATATACATCACAGCCCACTCCATTTGATTGCTGTTGAACTGGGACAACATGCATTTTCAGAATTGGCATTGAAGAATGCATGATTGCACCCAATTGTCGCTTAGCTTTTTCAGATATTCTACCAGAGAACAAATTGTCAAAGTAGAAGACCTTCATAGGCTCACACCCATATGTTGAAACAGCAATCCAATGTAGTTTTCCATCATGGAGGATTTTAACAAAAGATTTGTCGCGGTGTACAGTAAAAAACATGTTTTGCCTGTAAACCATTTGACATGGTCTTGTAAACTATTTGACTCGGGGTGTTCCTTCAGCATCAGACTTTGGAATACATTGATTATTTACGATAGACTTTGGAAGTCATTAAGCATTTTATTCTCTGAAATCTTTTTAAAGTCATGTTTGTTCAGTTGCTGCCTTCCAACAAAAAATTTTGTATGTTTTTCAACAAAATCTGTTCAATTGTCTCTTGCTGTATCTCTGTCAACTGATGTTACAAAAAATTGTAGAACCTAGTTGTTCTTGATTGTCGCTTACAATATTCTCTACTACATCCTCCTTAAAAAAGCTACAGACTTGTCTATGGTGATGTGGCAAGTCTTTCTTTAGCCTCTTTGTTTCCTTTAATTAAACTTTTCATTTTCTTTATAGGTTTCTTCTTTGGTGTAACTTGTCGAAGATGAATGCCCTTCACAGCTGGTGCTTCTTTGTAAATCAAAGATTTTATCTCCTAGAGCTTTGTGTGCAGTTTTGAAATAAGGGAATTGTTATCGTCAATGAGCTCTCTGACTGTGGGTTCTGATGGTCCAGAAGTATGCAGAGGGCAAGGCATCCCAGGACCATGAAGGATACTTGACAAATATTGCAAAAAAAAGTTTACAAGGATATGCAAACATTTTCAAATCAGGGCAGGAACAAAGTGGCATATTATATAAATCAAGTCATGGTATAGTTCATTGTGATTTGTCACTGTCGTCTATAATAGATACGTTTTCATACGGCAAAACTGACGATAACAGGCACCTCTCACAAATCCAATATCGCTCCCTGTCTCTTGTAATTCCAACACAAACCAAATGGTACCAAAGGAACACTCAGTGCACTTAATACTGTTTTCTGATTTGTCCAGTGTCTCTTCTTTCTCCAAGCGTGGTTTCTCCTCTCCCTTTCGGGGCAGTAATAAATCTGCTTTCTGTCCAGAAGCACTGGAACCACATACCCGTTGAAAAAAAGAAAAGCATTTCTTTCCAGGTCTGACCAGTGTTTTTCTTCAAATTTGACTTGTTCGATAAGTGGTTCCCTTCTCGGACTAAACACGACAAAATAGCACCTTTTCCCTCCAGTTAAAGCCATCAGTGTCGTAACTTGTGAATAATATTTATGTTCCTCTTTTAGGTGCAATTTTTTGTATTCATCAATGTATAAAAAGTACAATCCGTCTGCTCCTTCTTCTACACTCTTCTCCCGCAACTTAAACAGGCATTTGTACTCTACTGGCACAGGACTCTCGCAGCATTGGCACAAAAATAAATTATCTGGAGTAGCCCGAATTAAAGGAAATGAGCAGTTAGTTATTAGGCCAAAATCCAGTAGCTTCCCATGTTTATTCTTCGATACAACAGCACAGAAAAAGGCTTTTTTGGCATCTTGCTCATGCTTTTGTCCCCATTTTATGGCTGGCAACATCCCAATGTCATTGTCCTTCAACAACTTTGCAAGTAATGGCATGATTTTGGGTGCTTTTGCCTTCGATCTAGAAATCGCATTTACTTTTGTAAAAAAGTCACGAATTTTAGTTGCAGTGATACATCCAGATCTTTGTCACCAAATTTTCGAACCATCTTGTGATCTGGTGACCTTTTCGAGACCTGTCAGCTGATTGTCTTTAAAAACGATTAACAAACACAAGCTTCAGGTGTACAGGCTGGATCAATCAACATGTTTGTTTTTGCAAACTCCACTTTGTACATAACGGCTGCAATGTGGTTACAACACTCTCCAAACCCAGCTGTACATGTACAGTGAGCCACAAGGAAATTGCCTCCTTTTGTGCAAAGAACCCATGTCTCCCTTGGATCTCCTCTCACTTTTTGTGAAGTTGTGACTTTTGCCTTGAGAACAATTTATATGCGCCAAAGTTAAATGAAAAACTTTCATGTACAAATCCTTCAATAAGATGCGAATATGCCTTCTTGATCTTGTACTGGTCGACATACTCTGTATCAAAGGCTTTCTTATTTATAATATATGCAAAGATTTGAAACATGGACCACGTTTAAACATCATTCCTGCAATTCTTTAAATTGATTCCCTTTGGATCAGAGATACTGTAATCTTTCAGAACCTTAGCATAACTGCTCTTTAAATTAGCTTCTAATTCTTGGATATTTTTAATAATGGGCTCTTTTCATTTTAAATGCGCTAGAGGCTCTAAATGCCCTAGCTGCTAAATCTAACTTATTTCCAACTTATTCGCATCATGAGGAGAACGGGCCTTTAATGATACATTTACTCACGTCAGCTGATCAAAAAGGGGATGTCTTTGGCATTCTGTATTTCAGCCAATCTGATTCCTATTTCTAATAGAGGTATATTGACTGAGAGGCAAACTGAAGAGGATTAATTCAAACATTTTCTGGACGTTCTGGGCCTACGTGGCAAAAGAATATTCCTGATCAAAGGGAACACCACAAATTTAGGATGTTTGTACCTCTTCGTCAATTATAACCTGGAAGACCCAAAAACAAAATAAATCTTTGTAAGTAAGTATTTTTTACATACTTTGGTGATTAAAGGACAAGTGACACACTTTTCACCCTATCTTTTCATTAGCTTATAGATCATCATTTAGAAGTAAGTTTTTCCTGGTTTAGAACAAAAGATTCTAATCATGGGGCGCAGGGGGCGCCATTTTGTTTTGTATCACGTGACCCTATGACGTACATTGTGATAACTCGGAATTTTGCTGTTATTGATAGAGAGTTTACGAAACACGACACAACAGGTCCAGACGAACTGAATTCGTTTAGAAGCCTGTTGTAAACGTTAATATTGCACTGTATACCAGTAGCAGCAATAACAAATTATCACAATCTACGTCATGGTGTCACGTGATTCATTTCCTGCCATAATTTGAAAAGGGTTTTTAAGTAGGAAAATGAAATCAGAAAGGAAAAATATCTCAACAACACTCTCATACAGCATTTTACTATAAGTTAAAATTAAAAAAAAATTTGGTGCCAAAAGCGTGTCACTTGTCCTTTAAATATTACTTTGCCAAAGAATTTAGGTAAAAGTAGCTTTGTTTTGGTGTAAAATCGGAGGGTTGAAAATTGGTAAATTTTTGTATTGTCCAGGGGCTTGGGGCGAGTGAAATTTCGGCTAGTTATCGTTGATAGAAATTTTGGCTAGAATTTTTGGCTAGTATTTCATAATGGGGCTAGTAATCGGTAAATCGTTTATTGCAAACTGTACTGAATGAAAAACAAAACAATTGACAGCCCCCTCTTAAGCCACAAAAAGTATTGTTGTAGACAAGACTTTTTTCCGGTTCCCTTACAAAAAGACTTCAGATTCTCTTACAAAAGGATTTCTTCAGGTTCCTTTTCAAGGATCCCAAAGAAATACAAAGCTTTTTTTCGCTAATGCTATCTGATGCTATCTTATTCATGTAAAAATTTACATACTTAAAAGCCTATAAATTTACAGCCATACATATACATACAGATCTACCAGTAACAATCAACATATTTATTGGGAAAACCAAAAGATACCTAACCATACAATGAATTGCAGGAATTGCCGAAGATGCCAAGAGAGCTCATAGAAAGATTAACAAAGGAGACACATTTGAACTGCCGCTGTAAACCAGATAAGAGAGGAGCATACTTGCTGTGTTTTCATGTAGCATTATAATAATAATGGAAACATTTCATTTTCAATTCAACTTTAACTACAATTACAAATCTCACTATTACAAGGTAATTTGCAATTGGCTAGCCTGGTTTTACAAGAAAAAAAAACTATAACAATCATAAGATAAAAGAAAAAACTGAGAAAAATAATAATAATAATAATAATGGAAACTTTTCATTTTCAATTCAATTAAAACTACAATAACAAATTTCACTATTACAAAGGTAATTTGCAATTGACTAGCCTGGGTTTACAAAGAAAAAGACTATTACAAGCACAAACAAGAGAAATTAATAAAAATAAAGGAAAAAGTGTGTTCGTCATTGTTTGTTTTAGAAGTCGTCAGTAGCAGAGATAGTT